GAAAAGTCCTTTATTTTTTTTTTAAAGAAATTATTGATTTAAAACACTATTTCTTGCTGAAAGTCACTAAGTTAGTTTTGTCTTAGTTCAAGTGTACTAAGACATTTTCTCTAGAAACTAGGTCAAAAATACTTGGTAAGATTTTGTGTTTTTACAAATGAGCTTATACTCTCATGTCTTTTTTAATAACTGGCCATATTTTGGCTCTTCTTTGTGGCCAGAACTCGTCTTTTTTTATCTGAGCACCAGTTTATTTTAATCCTACTCTCGTAATAGCTCAAACATGCAACTTTACCACAACATTCTGCACACATTATAGATGTAGCAGGCGTACTAAAGTATTCACACTTATTAAACTCGTGGTAAATACCTAATTTTGGTGCATTTCAGTGGGATCTTATGGGATAGACCAACACAATGCAGTGCATAGATAGGAAGTTGAAGGAAAATGACACATTTCAACATTTCTTTAGGGGGAGCAGGAGGATTTGGTCTTTACTCCTTTACTCAGAGTCCATTAACCAGTATTTTTAGCAGACTTATAATTGAAACCCTTGTATTATTTTGTGCACTAATTTATATTAGTTTACCACATAAATTCCCTATAAATGCACCTGAGTTTTGTGATTATTACAAAAAAATTTAAAAAGCTTAAGAGGTATATATATTTTTTTTCTTTTTGGTCACTTGAGTGTTATATATGCTCATCAGTAATCGATTTTCTTTGCAGTTTTCGCCTCTCTGTAGCGGCTCGAAGCGCTACCTGTCCTCCACTGGAGCTGACGGAACCATCTGCTTCTGGCAGTGGGACGCTCGCACGCTCAAATTCGGGTGAGGGGAAAACAATTGGAAGTGTGCACATCCTTCCTGCCGATGTGCCGTTCGTGCCCTTCGAGTGAAGCATTTGTTTGATATTATTTTGCACATTCTAAGTCATTCTCTTGATGCCTGTGCAGCCAGAGACCCAGTAAATTCACGGAGCGCTCCAGACCTGGCGTCCAGATGATCTGCTCCTCCTTCAGCGCAGGTGAACTGTCCTCGCTTTGATTACGAACACAACAAGCCGTCAGAGGCGACGTAATTAAATAACGAGACTGGCTTTACAGCAGCTGTGTGCTGCGGTGTGAAATTAAACTTTCACTTAATCTATTTGTCATCCATCTCAAGTGTTCCTAGTTTGAAAACTGAACCTGCACATAGAAATATGGAATCATCATACTTTACGACCAATGAAACAGCCGTATTTAATCCTTTTCAGAGTAAAACATCTTCAGGTTTCATCATGTTACAACTGTAAATTGTTTGCACATTTATACTCTGTCCCTTTACTCTGATAAATAAATAAAATGTAATTCAACCAGTTTAGCTTCTCAAACAACAGTTTCCGAATGAAAACTGCAATAAGTGCTACATGAATAATGACTAAACCGATTTTCAACACTGAAGTGTGAATCTATAACTTCCACCTCCGATACCGATACAAATACCTGATGTTTAGTATCGGCCGATAAAGAAAACCAACGCTGAATTGACTAAAAATGTTTCTTTGTTTAAACACAGATGTAAACGTACCAAATTACTAGTTTATTTGATAACTCTGCACCAGTACAGCTAATACACCAGTAGCTTCACAAGCTTGGTAAAACATGTAAAAACAACACAACTTTAATTTGTTCAGTCAGTGCAGCTAGGAATAAAACAACCAATGTAAAATAAAAAATAATAAAGAAACTGAAACTGACAAAAACAAACCTCCTTCTTCCAAATGGTTCAGAAATCACGAGTAGGAGTTCTCCTCTAATCTTTTCCCTCGGTGTCCAGGCGGGATGTTCCTCGCAACAGGAAGCACCGATCACATCATTAGGGTGTACTACTTTGGGTCGGGTCAACCAGAGAAGATCTCTGAGCTGGAGTCCCACACCGTGAGTCTGAATACTTCATTCTGTTGTTGAGAAACATGAATTTTTCTGTAGGTGGACGCAGTTTTAACAGCTGTGGTAATTGATTTTGATTTTGAAACAGAAAAAAAAAAAAAAAACAATGTGCATTCTGACAGTTCTTTTATTATTATTATTTTTGCATAGGATAAAGTTGACAGCATCCAGTTCTCCCACTGCAGTGACAGGTGAGTTGTCCGCCTCAGAGCCTCACAGTAAAAATATCAGGTTTTGATATGCAGCGCTGTTGAAGGGCTGTTTTTAAAGGAAGCTCTGGGTGCTGCGTCTTGATTGTGTCAGCAGAATACGCCACCTTTAGTTAATGCCTGATACTCGCTGCTACACACTCTCTGTGTCACACACAAGCCAACTCAGTTATTCTTTCACACCGTGTGCGCTGTGTTGAGCTGAACGTGGCCGCATGGGGTTCGCACAAACAACAAACGCTCAGCTGTTATTCCCACCCCTCCGAGTCGCCCTAATCTAAGCAGGGAGAAAGATGTATAAGTATGCAAAGGTGCACAGAAAATAGATTTCAGGTTTTATTCGATTTCTGTGCATGAAGGAAAATGATTTGTGACGCAAAGCTGAACTAGTCCTCCTTCTCAGTGCTTTGTATGTATTTATGTGCTGTAGGTTTGTGAGTGGCAGTAGGGATGGTACGGCTCGGATCTGGCAGCTGCAGCCTCAGGGCTGGAAGAGCATTCTGCTGGATATGCAGACCAAACTGCCTGGGTAAGTGTGTGTGTGTGTGTGTGTGTGTGTGTGTGTGTGTGTGTGTGTGTGTGCAAGGCTGCCAAAAATGCTTCGAATAATTTTGGGGGTTTGAGCAAAACCCTATTTGCTTCCTTGTTTATTTTTTAATTCAGTAAAAAAAAAAAAAATTAATAAAAATAAAAACATGACATTTCCTGGGAAATCGTTACGATCGGTTCCTTGAATTCATGAGGATGCAGTGTAGATCAACTCTGGAATGCAGAAGTGACGTTATAAAGGAGAAGTCTAAAACCAAAAATGACTTGTAGAAACATTCTTTGTTGTTTTATCTGATGCTTACAGTGAAGGTTTTTATTATTCTGGACCCAACTAATTTAAATGTGAAACAGACTGATGCAGTCCTTTAAAAAGACCGACTTACAATACAAGGCAGTATTCCCCAAAGGTCTCTGAATCCTCATCTGAACCCTTTAGATTTCCATGACACTGAAAGCGCTCATCCTTACTGTTACCTACTGGAACGTCCTGCTCTCTCTTGCTCCCTTGCAGCCTGAATGAACCGCAGATATGTCTAAGCATGTCATAAAAAAATCTCAAATAGTTTTTATAATTATAGGGCTCAAATGACTAATTGGGATAATTGTGATGAATCGATTTTTGAAATAATCGTCCACTAATTTGGTAATCGGCTAATCGTTAACTGGAGAGTCTTCTGCAGAATGTGCTGATTTTTAAAAATGATTAATTGATTAATCATCAGAATACTTTTTTTTCTTTTAAATATATTTTTATTCAAGAAAGCACAAAGCAAGGTACATCAAAATACAGTAACTCGAATTGAATTTATTTTTCCTTTTTAACAGTCGAACCCCACACACCCACATACATAAAAAAAGACAGAGAATGGGGGCATTACTTATTTAAGTACATGTCAATAATTAGACAAATCAGTGAAATACAAAATATCTTTGTCAGACCTTTCTTTTTATTTTATTTTTTTTAAAAAGAAGTGTTTGAAACACTTTTTAAAGAAGGACCAAACGGTTCAGTGCTGCCATTTTAAACTGTCAAGCATCTTTTTTTTTTTTTTAACAATTAGGGATGTTGCTGTCATTAAGTACAACCAGCAGCCTCTGTGTGGAGTCCTTAGGGAACATAGATCTTTCCTCTGAGATTTCTAAAAGGCTACCAACACTGTCAAAGCTCACATCTTTTGTTTTAAGTAGTTTTTGTTTACATCTGTTTCCCTGCCCCTTTCTTTTAAACACCACACTAAAAATAGCTAACTTTTAGTCTTCTTCTTGCAGTATTACCTTCCACGCCGAAGAGTGTTGTGGTTAGCATAACACTGTGGCGCTTAGCTTATGATTTATTTATTATTTTACTGATCAGAAAGGACGATTTCCTGGTTCATCTCCAGTATTTTAGAAATGTTCGCTGAAGTTTTAAATTCCTTCAGTTTGAAAAATATTCCATAAAACGAGATACAATTTCAGTCTTGAGTGAAGTTAACTATTCTTTAATGGTATTGATTTAAAAAAATGACTAAATTTAAAAGTATATATCACTGATCAGCTGATAAAATAAGAAAAAATTGTCTTTATATGAAGTTATTTATTTATTTTTTTTTTCATTTTGCGCTTTTTGTGTAAAAATTCAAAATCCTGCAGCCGGAAATATTCTTGATTGAAAAAATGGCATTTATTCTAAAAGTGAAAGAAATCGAACTTAAATAAAAATGGGTCAAATGGATAACTTATAAAGCAGTTCTCTAGATTTAATTGCTTTTTGCATACATAAGAACTATTTGCTGTCAGCTTTAATGCTTCATTTCTTTTTTTTTTTTTTGTATAAAAGAGTGGAAAAAATAAGACAGATGAAGTTATTAAAATATCCTGCTGTTGGTCTTATTGCATTTTTTTAAATTTTCCCATCAGGAAATACAACCCTCCTCCACTGGAAGACAAGGTCACTAAGCTTAAGGTTACCATGGTGGCGTGGGATCGCCATGACAGCACTGTGATCACCGCCGCCAATAATCTGACGCTCAAGGTGTGGAACTCCATCACCGGGAATCTGGTCCACGTCCTGATGGTAAGAGGCGTCTGAACGTTTAAACTTTGAAACTAATTGAATGTGTATTTAGTTTCTGGACGCTCACGTCGTTTTCAAATTGTTGTCCCAATTTTCTCTACGGCTTTCCGCCACCGCTTGCTTGGCATACTTTTGGTAAATCTGTAGCTGTTAGACAGATGACATTAAGTTTGACTCCTCAGACCTTTAAAATGCTGTAAAAGTACAGAATTAGTTTTTGTCTTTTTCTTTTGTGGAAATTGGGTGTTGAAAAAGTATTTTTAAAAATCCATACATTTTCCTATCTTCCTTTCTAAAGAGCAAAAGTCTAATAGTTATTAATATATGCAAAGTTTTTAACAGGGGTTTTTAAATTTGACATACTTTGTCCTTGATTTTAGAATAAAATAGGATATTCTACACACAAATACACAATTATGGAACTTTTTTTTTTTTTTTTTACTTTTTGCTAGTTTATTAAAGACAAAAACCAAGAAAACACATTCAAGTAAATAAAGAGACACACTGAATACTTTCTGGAAAATAGGTCAAATTAAAAATAAGAGACTGTACAATTTGGACAAATTTACAACATAGGAAAAATAATACTTGGTGTTATTAAAAATATCATATTATACCACTAGAGAAGAAAAATATATAATGTGTACATGCATTTCTAACGTTACATCCATCTGTATTTTTGTTTTTGACTTACTGACTGAATGCAGATTCAGTCAGAAACTGAAAAAGTGGTAAATTTACTACCTGGTATGTGTCTAAGCCACTTTAAATTCAGGTTGAACTGGATCTACTCTAAAACTGGGTTGACCTGAATTATGTAAAAATAATCGCAAAACTTGCAAAATAAAGGGAGCGCTGAATACAAACTTCTTTAAAAACATACCCCCCCCCCCCGCGCATTTCTCAAGATCACTGCAGCGTTAGATAAGTTTTACGTAATGAAATAAAGGCTATCTGACTTAGTTCCAGATACGCAGTCTGAAAACCGGAAGCCAATTTCATCATTATTTTCAAAGATAAGATCTGGTTATCAAAGTTCATGTAAGGTTAATATTTCATACATAGTTTCTGAGAATATTATAAAAATGAAGAAGAAAAAAATAATCCCAAATCATCACTGTCCTTTGCAGCTGATCTGAAGTGTTGCACCTTTTTTATTCAGTTTAATGTAAAACCTTAGAATTAAAAGAGAGTTGTTTTCGTTCTGTCACCACGGCTGTTAATATGCTGTAGTAGCTCAACACGGCCATCATTTCACCGTTGTCGGTGAATCCTCCAGGGCCTACTTTGTTCTCCAGCTCATAATTTCACAACACTGCCTGCCATAGACCTCCCCGTCTTGTTATTTTATTGTTGGTGACAACAGTCTCCCAGATGGCGTTTGATGGATGTGGCGCGTTGGACACTGACTAACAATAGTCCATATAAAAACAAAACTCTAATCTGTGTGCTTTAGATTCCAGTTAAACTGCTTTTAGTTTTATGGCAACAAGCTAAAACCTTGGATATTACTTCTCCCTGTAATTGTGTTTATAGCCAGCGTTTTGCATGCGTTCATCTCTCAGGTGTGCCTTAATGGAGCTGTTTCTTTTTTTTTTTTTTTTTTTTCTTTGGCAGGGTCATGAGGATGAGGTTTTTGTCCTTGAGCCTCATCCGTTTGACCCGAGGATCCTCTTCTCGGCTGGGCACGACGGGAACTGCATCGTTTGGGATCTGGCGAGAGGAGTCAAGATCCGCTCTTATTTCAACATGGTGGGTCTCGATTTTTCCTCGCTCGTTTTCTAATCTGTGTTGTTCTGCAACAAGTCGAGCGAAGATCCTGATATAGTTCACCTTAAATCACCTTGCTGTAATTTTCTATCGTCTTGTTATGTTTCCCTCTGCGAAATGTGCCACGGTCCTAACTCTTCCATTGTATTTATTACAGTTGCATCCTTTTGTCATCGTCTCTATGGCAACCAAGGACAATTCTAATCACAGTCTCAGAACATGAGTCACTAAGGAAGCTGGTCAGCTGGCCAAAAAGTCCTGGTCTCAGTTTTGGTGCTGAACTGCAACAAGAGTGTTTGTGATTGAGGCAAAGCTCAGATAATTACTGCAAGTAAAGTTCACTAACTTTGACTAAATTGCTGCTCCTGGGTCTGTATTAAGATGAGTAGCAGGTGGATGATGGGAAGAGAACTACACTGTTAAATTAATAGTGCTTGGCAGCCAGTGTTGGCATTAACAGTATTAAGGCAAACGTTTAATAGTCTGAATGTGTCCACATTTTGTCATGTACAGTACAAATTGTACTGCTATTGATAATACTATCTTTAACAGACTGATAACATATGAAG